CGGCTCGGCTCCCCGGCTGTCCCCAGAGAGCCACCGCCAAGCGCGGGGCCACCCTCAGCACGGAGGCGACCCGAGGGAAGTCTCTGCCCGCAGGCAGGGCACGCAGTGTGAGGGGCAGTAGGGCTCGCCCTTCTTGCCTCCCCATCGTGGTGCCCAGCACCAAGAGCAGCTGAAATTTCAGCCTCCTGCAGGAGCCTCTCCTTCGTCAAGCTGGGCAGCTGCTGAGGAGGTCGAGGTCTGGGGAACTCAGGATGGCCCTTGACAAGTGCTTTTTGTTTTTCTGAGTGCCTGTGCATTCCTCTGCTCCGCTTCAGGATCTGTATGTCTCCAAAGCTTCAACGCGTGCTACCTAAGAAGATCATTGTGAATCTACCAAATGGAATTTTTTAGGAACAAGTTAGCAAAACACCCATGAGGAATGACACAAGTGCAGTGATCCCATTTCAGGGCAAGGCAGAGGACACACTAGCTGAGCTCCAACAGTTCCTCTCCGCGATTCCTTTGGATCTAGTGGTTGCATTAACCATTTCCCACCAGACCTGTACCAGGCCACTGAGCTCCCAAGCCTGCAGCAGAGGCATCCCTGCTTGGCAGAGCAAGCCTCTGTCCCCAGGAATTCACATGGGATCAGCATAGCTGGTGTGTAAGTGCCTTAGGAGACTTGCTCATGTCATTAAGCAACTATGGGATATTAAGGAAAAAACACTGATGGGGATGGCAAAAGATAGGACTGGAAAGATAAACTTGTACCCATACGGTCAAAATGGTGTGCTCTAAGTGCAAGAAGAGGAATAACTCCCCTTGCAAAGCATGTGCAAGAGTGACACTGCCACAGCCATCATGACACCAGCCAAAGCTATAGCCATCGATGCCAGGGCACCAGAACAAGCTAAGGTCAAAAATCCTCCTCCCCTGCCTGTTTGTTTGGGTCTTAAAGAAAATCTAAAAGAAGAGTCAAAAAAAAAAAAAAAAAAAAAGAACTAATGTTTTGTTAACAGGAAATCAATACTCTTACGCTGGAAAAAAAAAATGGAATACTGGAAAGTGACATTACAGCAGAAATTAAATAGATATTTAACTGGCCACCAGGAAAAACTCTTATGAACTGCAAGTTGCCAAGCTTATAAAAGACCTCCTTTTTAAATCAACATATTTAAAAATGCTTTAAAATGAGATTTGTTTTTGCTGAAATTACTATAAAATGACCAGTGACTGTGAAATTGGGAACACAACTGTTTTAATTAGAAAGCTGAGAGATTTCTCAAACCAGAAGATGCATCTTCATCACGTCTGTCTTCAATAGACAATACTTAGACAGATTTGTCTCATTCCTTTCTTTTATTTTTGTTTTTCTAGGAAACTCCCTGGCAATGATTTCCACAAGCCATTTAGTACTGTACCAAAAAACAAAAGTGTTTGCTTTATATGTAATAATTCTGTTTGATGAGCTTTATTTCTTGTGCAATGAAAACAAGGAAATAATCCTTATCAAATTGTCTTCCCTGTGTCTCTGAGTTAGTAACATTTATCATACCCTCAGTCATTTTTTCCAAGTTAGGAAAAAAAAATCTACAGCTGAAAGCTGTGACTTTGATCTCCTCCATCACCTTACTCGATATGTATATATTCTATGCATTGATTAATACATGATCACTCTATAGTATGTGTAGTGGTATAAGAATTCTCTCTATGGGTTTCTCTGATCCTTTCCTAATATTTCCTAACAGTGGATTGCCTCTTTTACTGCCCCACGTGTTTTCAGAGAACGATATGTATTAAATTCAAAACATTTTTCCTGAATAGCAACGGCTAATTTAGAGCCTGTAGTCGTACATGTAAGGTTACATGTGTTTCCCCCATGCACACTACTTTGCATGGATCAGTAATAATTCTTAAAAAGAAGGTGCAGGTCTGTAGCATGGAAATAATGTGGAGCGTGCAAAAATATGCATTTTTAAGAGAATTTAGGATGCCTCCTAGAAATAATCAAACATATGACCAGCTGTAGAGCAATAAATAGCTAGAAAATCAGCGTCTAACAGTTTGCTTGCTCCTTTGCCTGTAGTTATATAACAATTTTCATACATGAGCTCAGCAAATGTTAGAAATTAGCAAAATAAATGGAGCTAAGAAACAAGAAGGCTTTGGAAATATTTCATCCAGAGGCAATTCCTGCCTCACCTTCTGTAAGGTGATTTCTGTGGCCTTTCTTACTTGTCAGGAAAAAAAAAACCTAAATACAAGGGCACCTCACACACAAATCTCTCCCATTCCAAACCGGTTGCTGCATTTTTGCTGCAGGCACAGTCCCTGGGAACCCAGCACACGCGCCAAGGTGCAGAGCTTTCCAACAAGCAACACGAGATCTGGTGCCTCCTTGAATACCCAGGGGCATTGGAGGATCTGCAAGTCTTTGGGAATGACCCTTGCACTGGCTGAAATGCTGCAACCCTTCCAAAGGAGCTGTGTTTTAAGTGCTCAAAGATCTCCATGGTCATAAACTTTTTGAAAGACATCTAAACACAAAAGAACAGGATGACCAACAGAAGTATCTGCCTAGCTGGGACCACAGGAAGGTTTCCACGGTGACCAAACTGTTACTTTCAACGGTCTCATGTGTCAGGCACATCACAAGAGCAGGTAAGAGAGAGCTCTTTCCTCTGCAAGCTCTGAAGGGACGAATGCCTAAACCTTCAAGGCACACTTAGAACATGAAGGCAGACAAAACGATGCTCCAGATGAACAGGAAAAGAAAATTTCTTAGATAAAGCAGAGCTTACTTTCTCATTTTTTTGATGTATAACAGCCTGGTGCAAGTCATCCAGATACATCTGCTGCAGTCTAAGGGCAAAATTTCACGAGTTGTCAGTGACATAGGGACAGTCCCAGCCACGTGGCAATATCCCTTCCTCATTCTGGCTCTGGTATCCTCAAAATCCTGATGAGCTGATGCTGTTCATCAAGTTAACACAAAACCAGTCACCTGTGTTCCTGAATTAGTTTTATGCTGCCTTAGCAGCAACCAGCTCATCAGAGGATGAGAAAGGCATCAGAGCCAATGCAAGCAGAAGGCTGCAACCTGGAGCCAAAGCAAGGCATGAGAACCAACCCTTTTGGTGGCAGAGAGCCGAGAGAAGAGCTGATTCACCACCTTCACAACACCGTTTGGTAGAAGCTTAATCTAACCAAGTCTGAGCCTGCTGTAGTCCTGCTTTTCACTGTGTGCTTTCCTTTCCTAGTGCTCTCATCCATGCCTCCACGATCACACACTTACTTGGTTCGAGCAGCTGAACCAGCTGAAGGGCAGGCTCTCCACACTTAGTTTTTGGCCATTTCAGTTCCCTGAAGCAGCTCACCATGAGTTCAAGTTTGAGACACAGGAGCAGACAGGAACATGTCGCAAAGGACCAAAAGGTGGAGGCAGCAGCCCTGGCCCCTGCAGGACCGCACACCTCCACGTTAGGAACTACTCCTTGGCAAGTTTTCACCCCAAGATCATTGGAGCACATGGCAGTGCCACCTGGTAAAGGAAGGAACATCTGTAATCACCTCAAACGTGGGCAACAGAAAATGTCATTTTTATGCTGAAAGCAAATTATAAATGACTCCTGGACTCATCTGTATGTTTGCTGTCTTCATTTCCACTCACAGTCTAAAAACCTTCCAACTCTAAAAGCCCAATATCCTAGGAGTAGTCTGTGCAATAGAGGCTTTGCAAGGGTGGATGAAGTGATATGCCCACTTGCTGCACAAGTCTCAAGATTCAAATACAACATCAAGTATCCAAAGGTGTCTGAAAGGGCCAAACTGCAGGGTCAATCTCTGGCTTCCTTAGTGGAAAGGATGTTCACAAAATCTGTTAGTCGGGCCTATGTTTTCCCCCAAATGTGACAGAATCTCCTGGTGAATATGAAAGGCATAAGGAATATGGCTTTTCCAAGGTTTTTGTAGTAATTGGCCACATTTCCAGATGCCCAGTATCCTCTCTCTCTCAAAAAAAAGAAAGAAAATACTGGAAGTCCTGGAAATAACTTACCAGCAATTAATAGTGGATTTTTTTTTTTAGAAATGTGCTGTCCATATGCACAGTCATGCTGAGAGGACTTATACACTGGAAGCTCTTTAGCTCTGAGTCTTTTCCTGTGCACTACCTACAGTATGTATACGTGCTCTCTCTCCCCTCTCCTCCCCACGGTGCACACAGGGCAATGCTGGCTGTGGGGGGGAAATGTCCTTTGATCCCAATGGACTATAAAAACCCCAGGGGACAGACTGGAGGAGCTGTAGTAACCATGCATTTGGGCCAATGCAAAGTGAAGAGGAGCATGTTCCCTTTTCCTCTTGAGTTTTCCTCCATGTACACATACACAGAGGGGGAACTCCGAGCAATGTTTATGTCACAGGAGTTTATCTGAGGCTGATCTTCATGCCTTCAATATAAGAAGTCCAGAACTACCCTGTAGATGAGGAGACTCGAGACCAGCCCATAAAATTCATGTCATGGATCTGAAGGGAGCTTTCAAAATGGGCTCTAAGGCTTCAGCGCCTGCAGCACCCCTTGCTGATTCAAAGGAAAAGGCACCATGTTTCCATACCACAAGGACACATGCAAGTCACATTTTGGCAAGCCCACTTGGGGGAGGTTCTGTATCTAGACTAGAGATGCTGAGAGTCTGAGTAAATGGGTAGCCTTACATGCTTATTCCCAAAAGGAGTTGCTCGAGTCTTTTCCCCTGGAGATATTTTTAGTTTATTGTCCCATTCCTCAGAGCCAGCTGGCCTTTGGCAAGGACCAGGGGAGGTAGCTGAAAGAAGAACCTCAATGGAGTATTTGGTACATGATCCAATAACAAAGAGAAGCAAGTCTAACCATGAGACTTTGCATCTTGTTACTTGCCCAGACATCAAACATGTGCCCGTGACAGGAGAAAATACATCTTGAGATAACGCATTACCACTCAGCACAAATGGTGAAGAAAAACAAAGTCATCGAAGCAAATGAAGAAAAGCATCACTGAAGGGAGAGAAAAGACCTTCTGCAAATGTTACTCTTCTAGATCATGGAATAGTTGGAAGGGGCCTCTAGAGATCATCTAGTCTAACCCCCCGCTCCAGCAGGGTCACCTAGAGCATGTGGCACAGGGTGGCATCCAGGAGGGGTTTGAAGATCTCCAGAAAAGGAGACTCCACAACCTCTCTGGGCAGCCTGTTCCAGGGCTGTGTCACCCTCACAGTAAAGTTGTTCTTCCTCATGTGGAGATGGAACTTCCTATGTTTCAGCTTGCACCCTTTACCCCCTGTTCTGTCAAAAGCCACCACGGAGAAGAGCCTGGCCCCATCCTCCCTACATTCACCCCTCAGGTACTTGAACATGTTGATCAAATCTCCTCTCAGTCTTCTCTTCTCCAGACTGAGAGAAAATCATCAAATGTCAAAAAAAAAAAATCTGATAAAGCCTCATCCTTTGGTACCACATGTGTTGATTTTTTAAACTAACTTCAAGCAGACAAATGACCTATGCAAGAAGGGTCGACTCTGGGACTGATTGTACAAGGCAAGGGCTGCATGGGATGGCTGCTGCCTCGTGTACACTATATATGGGGTAAATAACTGGTAAATAACTATTTTTTTTTGGCAGTAGCATTTAGCAAAGCTCAGAGACACCAACATAGATGACAATACCTTGTACAGACGTTGTCTATTCTTCTGCCATCAGGAGGCACTGCACATGCTACAGGTCTCCTAAACCATTTATGATAGGCAATCGCTTTTACAAGTTGCTTTGTCAGGTATAGACAAATTTTGTCACCAGGTGACAAAATTTCCATGCCAGCCTTACATGTAGCACTCAAGCAAGTTGCCTCATGCACTCTCTTCACAGGCTGCCACCACAGACTGGGTAATGCTCCCCACGTTACCTTAGCTGCCCAGAGAAAACTCATTTGGACTGCTGTGAGGCAGTTCAGCATTGTGGAGGAAAGACACATCTGGTATTATGCAATCAGTGCTTCTAGGAAAAGTTGGTACAAGTAAAGAATGACCCTGAAGCTAAAAGAATCACTTTATTACAGGAAAATGAAGGATGTTCTAGATACAAGTCAAAACACAAGCTCTCCAAGGAAAAAAAAATCAACCAACCAAAAAAAAATCTTCTGTCAGTAAAATATGCTGTTGAAGGACTAAGTTGCCACTGATAAACTTGTACCAGCTACAGAGCTGACCCCAGCCATGCCATACCCCACTCAAATGCCTGAATGAGACCCAGGACTGTGGGCCACCACTAAGTGCTCTGCTAATGATCAGGTCTGTGACACCGGAGTCCAAGTCCGGAACACCGCAGACGTAGGAAGGTGAGACAGATCCCTGCCCTGCACTGGGTCCTCATCTCCACATCCAATGGGGGGCTGCTGGGACACACTGAGAAGACATCATTTAAGAGGAGTGTGTTTTTCTTGCAAGCTCAAGGCTTACAGGGATGTCAAAGCAGGATATGAGGCTCCCTGGGGCAGTACCAATCCCCACAGCTGCCAAAGAAGGCAGAAATCACAAAGTCTATGAATTTAATTAATACACCTTGGTATCTAACAGTGTGTGCATTTAAGAGGTGCCTACTGGTGCCTACTATTTACAATTATCAGGTTCACTTGACCTTGGGAGATATAGAGAAAGAATTGAAAAGAGGGAAGGAAGGGGAGGACGATGAAGATGATGGGCCAGGGAACTCAAAGGTGCAGATCTAGGTAAAGGAGCCTAGGCTATGTGGACATAATGCATGGCTTTCTAGAGAAGAAACAGATATATTTAAAATGGACGGAAATGGAAGAGTAAGGAAAAACTCTGAAGTCAGATCATCAGGACAGAGGAGTATCAGAGGGTACAAAAGACCATCAAAAGTAAGGAACGCCTGATCTGGAGGACAGCAGGGAGGAAGAAGAAGAGGGAGGTTATAGCAGAAAGGTCCCTGTGCAGAGATTCATTCAAGAAGAATGATCACATTCATGTCAATCGCGTCAACAAGGATGACCACATCCATGAAGGCAGCAGCAAAGCAGCTTCCGCTGGCTGCCTGAATGCCTTGCAGGAGCACCTTGGGTTGTCTGTGAGTACAGCTGCCCGGGAACAGCACTCACAGAAGTCACTAACGACTGCGGTTCTCTAAGCAGTTGCATTCATACGCTCATCTCTCCCTCCTAGTCCTGCACCCTATTGAGGTGCTGCGGCCAAGAGGGAAGCGGAGAACACAACATGTGCACTTCCTTCCCCATTTATGTTCAGGCCACATGGGAACATGAAGCACATGAACACTACTGGGGTCTGCAGAGCAAAAATAGACACTGAGTTTAAGGGCCTGGAGTCCACACGCACTCACAGCACCAGTGTGCAAAAAGGCAAAACTTAAATGAGAGAAATGCTGAGCTAGCCCTAGTTACATCACTAAAAACACAAAGATGATGGTTCAGACCTCAAGATTCAAAGATTTCTCTTCAATCACTCTCACTTTTTTGTTCTTTTTTTCCCCCTTTTTTTTCACTAATCAAGCCCTCATGACTTCTTCCTCACTCCCATCTACTGAGATTTAGAGAGGAAATTTCAGAAAATAGATATGAAAGCACACAGAAAACAAAGACACCCAGGATAACTTGGGGAGAGGGGTGGTAGCTAGAAGGATGCTTGCTGGCCTCCCCTGTGTCTTTGGACACTGATTTCCATCTTTTCTTTTTTTCCTGTGCTGTCTGTTTAGAACACACATTCCCCAGCACAAGGGCAGCTGGTTGCACATTTGCTCTTGCCCTGATCCCAAGTGCCCCGGGCAACCCACAGATGAGGGAGTGAAAACCAGACCTGGGCTCTGAAAGGAGAACATGGCTGCTAAGATGCAGCACAGCGGGGCAGACGCTTGCAGTGGCATGAGGATTTCATTTGGGGGAACCAGATTCCCCCAGCGAAGCACTCGCTACAGCCTCAGTGCAAGAAGGTGAGAGCTACCAGCAATTCTGGCCATGGCGTTTGCACACAGATCTTAAGAACAAATAAGAAAGCTTTGCTCCCAGGCAGGAAATCCCTTTTACCACACCTTTCTGATTTACACTGATGCTTGATACACACCACATGTGTCCCCTCCTGCTCTCACCCACATTTGCAATGGTTCTGTTCCATATTTAAGTGATGAAAAGTTAAGACCTGTGGTTACAACTTCTATGAGAAGCTTCATTTTGAAAGGCTGCTACATTTCAACTTTATTGCCATGAGGAAAACTGGGGAAAAGAAAGAGGAAAAGAAAGAGGGGGAAAAAAATCGCTCCATCCCTAACATGAAAACTGTCGTGAAGACGTTTAGTAAGTGTAAGTTTTCTCCTGCAAGCTGTTGAAATATTGACCTTTGGGCTGAAGAAGGAAAATTGATTCCCACAAATGGTTTATATGAATCCCATGTACAATCTCATGCACTACACTTTTTTTTTTTTTCTTCTGTACAAGGTCAGCTGCCGCAGGTTTGGTCGGCATTTTTGCCTGAAGCTCATCTCAGTAGGCAGAACTTAAACTCCTTGCCCGAGATGTTACAAGAAGAAAAATAAGTAGTAACATCGAGATCACTTCAGCGAGGAGACCGAGTGAAATAAAGAGTGTGAAAACCTACCCACCTGCCTGCGTTTGGGAATACGGGATTTTCATCTCAGTGAGATCAGATATTATGTGGTGGAAGAGCAGGAGTGAGCCACCAGAAAACTAGCAAATGCATCTGCTTTTTCCTTTCGGTATTGTGCTATTGACTAGATCTCTGCAAAACGTTCACTTTTCCACAGACCTGCCCACTGGGATCTGCCTGGCACTAACTGGCTTTCAAAATTACTTATGAAAATATCTCCAACTCTTTTTAAGCCTTTACGTAATAATAATAAAAAAGGTTTTTTTAATTAAAAAAGCATTCATTGTTCATTTATTATTCATTTTCTGCACGCATGCTTTGTATTCCACTTTCTAAAATAAATGCTTCGGGACAGATTTGGCCTATTTTTTTTAACGAAGTTTCTTTGTGTGAATTAAGGACTGCAGAAGGTGAGGAACCTTTTGTGCAGTTGCAAAAGGTTGGGGGCGGAGGGGAGAAGCGCGGAGCAGCAGAGAGTCGGCAGCGAAGCGGCTTTCGGGAGCCCCGCGGGCGGCGGAGCGGCGCGGAGCGCAAGGGGGGCCTGTGGCG